AAACTGTTCTGAGTGACTAGAACAAAATGAACTGAACTTAAGCAATATGGTCTAGTTACAAATTTTTTCTCCTTGGGCTATGAGTTAGCAATTTTTAAAACTAATTCCACTATGTTGGACTAGTGGGTGGTGTGGTAGTTAAGGCTCTGGACACTCCCATATTGCTTACCACCGATCAATTCCCAGACCTGGTGGCTTGCTTTCTCACTTTCCCTCTGTGTGTGTATATCTTTCTGTGGTCAAATTAGAATAATAAATGAATGAATAAAAAATAGATATTCGGTATTTTTTTAAAAAGCAACAAGTAAACATACGATAAACAATAAGAGTCAGGATCCTCATAGAGAACTTAAAAATATGGAAAGGGTAAAGGTTACAATAAACTCTACGGGGGACCAGCAGATGGCATAATGGTTACATCACTGGACTCTCATGGTTCAAGTCCTGGACCCGGCAACTTAAAAACTCACTCCAAGTGCATGTGCATGTGTGCCCAAAAAGCTAAGAGGAGAAGGGACTGCAGCATGGCCATTCCCCTCCATCGCCCCCCTGGGGGGACGATTTCTCACTTTCTGTCTCTATAGCAAAAATCTCTCTTAAAAAATTTTAAAATAAAAACTCTATGATGCTGATTTGAGTGTATCAGTATGAACTATGCTTTGTGTGTGTGTGTTTGTGTGTATACATATTTATACTCATAGGCATTTATATATGTACAAAATATTGACAGAGATAGATATGGAAATCGATATAGAGCATAGGTTGTTATACACAGGTGTTTTCTATGTTTTGAGAGGTGCTAAAACCAGTGGAATCCTAATAGTCAAATTTTAATGATTATTCTTTAATCAAAAGCAACTATGATCTCTTGAAGAAGTGGTTGAATCTAGGACTAGGTAGAGAAAATACAAGAAGAGCCTGAAACATCCTGCAGTGAGAATGAGGAAGTGCTTTTTAAAAACAAGGGGATAGCATGTTGAAGAAACACAGCAGCTCTTTAATGGTTTCTGAATGGCTAAAGCTGGAATGACTGAAGCTATTAAATAAATAATGATGGTACTGAATTACAACCCAAAGGAAAAAAATATATTCCTTAGGTTCATATCAATAAATGACTGAAAAAATGGGGAAGGAGGTACAACTCTTCCACATGAAAGAATTCCAATTAGTAAATGTAGGGGGGGAAATCAAGAAAATCGGTACCAGAAGTGTTTCAGATTTCAGACTTTTTTGGATTTTGGACTTGCATATACACAATGATCTGGGGGATGCAACCCCAGTGTAAATAAGTAATTCTTTGTTTCAAATACGCTTTATATACAGCCTGATGGCAATTTCATATAATATTTTTATATTGTAGTATTTTCACTACCAGCTGTCACACAAGGTCAGATATGGAATTTTCCACTTGTGGCATTATGTTGGCCCCCAAAAAGTTTCAGATTTTGGAGCATTTCAAATTTTGGGTTTTCAAATTAGGGATGCTCAACCTATGTAGCTACTACCTTAAGATTACAGCCAGTGGGGCCAGCAGGTGGTGTGATGGTGTAGGGCACTGGACTCCCAGTGCCGACTGCCAACCGCGGTTCAAGTCCTGGACCTGGCAGCTTGCTTTCTCACTTTCTCTCTCTCTCTCTCTCCATCCCTCTCTGGCCAAATTAAAATAAATAAATAAATAAATAAAGTCAAATAATTCTTTAACGGAAGATAACAGTCAGTATTACATAAAGTGATATATATAGAGACACATATATATATTTACATATGGTTAGGTTTACAGTTAGAGTAAGATTCAATAGAAGATGGATTCAATACACAACAGACATTGTTATTGATATTACTCAGTTGGAACATTTCAGAACTATCATGCAGCTAATCTGTGTGAGCCAATTTAAAGTACACTCCCGCTTCTTCCTTTTGCTGATTATGTTTCACATTATCAAGACCAAAAGAGTATGTTAAGCTTAGAAAATGTAAAATAGAACTCCAGCAACATTGCCATAATCTTGACCTTATTTGTAAGTCAACAAACAAGGTGAAACCTACCTAATCACAAAATTTAATTGGTAGAGCTAAGTGACCTTGTTATCCTTTGCCAATTCAGCTAACAGATCTCTTTTCAGCCTGTGCTGATTCAGCAGTTCATTAAAAAGTCAGAAACTCCTTCAAATCTAATCTCTATACACATAGCCAATACTTTTACCAAAAGATTTGGATTGCCCACATAAGATGAGGAATTGGTGAAATTGTCATTCTTATTCCTCCACTGTACCAACAAGATACCGAAGCTTTATTGTGTTTGCATATGTTTGTTCACAAAACACATTTCCAACTCCAAGGGAAGGTGGTTGTAGGTAACTGCAACATCAAATATCAGCAGCTCTGAAGAAAGCAGATGCCTTTTCCTGGCCTACACAGAGAACATATAATCAAAGGAATAAAACAAGGAATACTTCATGTTGTATCAGTAATGAACTGCTCAAGCGAAGACGAATCATTCATGGAAACCATGGTTTGAACACCCAGCTCAGTCCCTCTGAAACACACTGAGGACATGAGTGAATGCCTATATCTGACAGCCTGAAGGACTGGAGGAAGAGGATCATGGTGCCACCAGACAGGTGTAGGGTACGCCTATCTCTCTCTCTCTCTCCCTCTCTCTCTCATATACATGGATGTGAGCACTCTATCACAAATGAAGAGGAAAAAAGTTGTAAGAGTGAAACATAGCATCCATTAGTAGAAATGTTCAAAATTTATACATTAATTCACTTAATAAGAACTTACCAAGTACCACTGTGTGTCAGGCACTGAATTCAATGTTGAAATAAAAGAACAAACTTCCTGTCCTCAAATAGTTTACAGCCTAATGACAAGGAGCAAGATACACTGACAAAGGAAGGGATAGGATGGTTTTCACAGAAGACTGTTGAGTTCACCAGGCTGACAAGAATGTCATGTGAACAGAGTGAACAGGGTCTGGGAAGCCCGAAGACATGCTATGCCAGTGTTCAAGGTTACATTGGAGAGCTAGGTGCAAAGGAAGCTGGTAGATTAGACTGATGCCATTGTAATAGTTTGCACTTTATCTGGTTCCATGGAAAACTATTAGTCCAACTGGGGAAACAATTAAACATTTTTAAGCCAAGGGTAGAGATATTCAGATTTGTTTTTTTGTTTGTTTGGTTTTTTGTTTTGTTTTTTGTAATTGCCAGAGAAAGACCATTATGGACAGAGAGAGAAAGTACCTGCTATGGGGTATGTGCAGACCAGAGTCCCTTCTCTCATTTCTCCACCTTGTCAGGATTCAGGGAAAATATGCACATGGGTCCTGTGTGTTTTGAGACCTCTGGGGCAGGATTACAACCATGGTGGGCCCTGTGAGATCAAGATTCCCTAATCTTATGCTACAGGGCCAACCACAGATTTACTTTTTTCAAAGACCGTATTAATAGTTGTATGAAGGTTGCATTGGAAAGGGTAATAGGAAAATCCATTAGGTGGCTATTGCAGTAAGAGAAGATACTATCCTTACGAAATTTCTAGGATTTCCATAAATAAAATGATCATGTCTTAAGAAAGCCATCAACATATTTGAAAACTTATCTATTGAAAAATCAAGAGGTAAATGAGAAAAAGAAAAAAAAAAAAAAGACCATTATGTTCAGGTACCTAAAATAATAAAAACAGACTTTGAATATAAGGAATTTTTGGGAATCCAAAGACTGGTTCTTTGGAAAATGAATGAGTTTATTGAATACCTCAGATTCTTTTTTCTAACTTTGTAATTGCTTAAGTTCTTATATGGTTTGCCAGATGGTGGATAGGGGGAAAACACTAAATTTAATTAATTTGGCTCCCTGACCGCTACTTAATATGGATATTTCTGGCGGTGGAAACTTTCATTACATTGAAGCATGTGGATTATCTGTGCAGTGTGCAACCTTCTCTTGATTTCAAACATAAATCAGATGTGACTACAAGAGAAAGCCTACACCCTGAAAATAATTGGGTCTTTACATTAACCTTTTAGAATACATTTCCATTTTCCATATTTAAAATTTATTTGGTCTCTTCACCTGAATAATGTATGTGCTGCTCATTTCTCTTTGACCAGATCGGCAGTGGGATGAATATATCTTACAGCTGTGGTTGGATGCGCGTTCTCAACATTTCATGTCAAGGCTCAGCTATTAGACGAATCAGCATAGCCAGATGGATTTAGCCCTGTACTTGCTAAGTGAGGACTCACTTCAGATCAGACTGCATTTATTAGAGGGCTACAGTGATTTCAAATGAGCCCTCAGGGAGAAGAGAGAAATGCATTAATTGGCCTCTGCTGTGTGCTGCCCAGGTGCAGAAACGCAAATCCTGTCGTCTTTTCACTATAGAAGGCTTTCTTTAAGTGCGATTCTTAAAACAACATATAAACAACTGTTTTATTATTTTCAGTGTTTTTTTTTTCTTGTTTCTCAACTTCTTAGCCTCAGGAATAGCAATTCCTATTCACTTACCGTCGTCAAAGCAAGAAATACTCTGAAAAGATGAGAGACAGGAAAGCAGGTACTGAATGTTTTACTCTCCCCGTTTGGCCCGGACGGACGAGGAAAACCAGGGCCTTGACTTTTCCTCTAACCAGAAGAATGAACCCTGAATTTTAGGCGGGTTTTTTATGCTTATGAACAAGATCGGGTATTTTCCTATAGTTCAGAAGATACGTGATATTGTAGTCCTCCTACACCTAAAAACATTTTCTCATCTTGGACTCTCGCCTGCCGCAGGGCATAGGATTGCCAAAATTAGCCAGGAGCAGCACGTTCACGCGGTGGAGACCAAGTACCGCAGCTGCAAAGCCGACCAGCGCAGGACCTGCGAGACGGCGAGGAACCGACTGCGAGGAGACTACATATCCCGGCATGCCCCGCTCGCGAGCACAATGGAGTCTGTCGTCATCCGGGTCACGGGGCCGCGCGTTCCCGGCGTGCCGCCGGATTCCGGCCTGGGTCCCGCCCCGGGCGGAGGGCCCTCCAGGGCCAGGAAGACTGCAGTTCCCGGCATGCCCTGCCCCGGGTGCGCCTGCGTGCGGGAGCTACCGCGCTGGGGAGCGGGTTGGTTTAAAGTGCGGTGTTAGCTCCATGGAAACCGGCCATTCTGCAGCCGGACAGAGCCTCAGGTGATGGAGGAACTGTGGGGTGAGATTGCCCGGCCCTGGGTTGCCGAGCCGGGATGGGAGTCGCTGGGCCGCGGGGGAGAACTGGTGGATCTGATAAAGCCGCCCTCACCTCTCCCTTCCGCGCTCTCCCCTCCCTGGTGAAGTCCAGTATTGCTCCCTGGTTGTCAGCGGCCTGGTTTATGGCGCTTCTGCATTGGATGCCGGTGGAAACCATTTAAGAGCGGTATATGCATGGGCCTGACTTTAGCTGAGGAAGGGAGGATAGCCACGAGACCAGATAAGCCCCAACACCGCCTTCATTTGTATGTTACGTTGTAGGTTCTGGGTTCCTGAGAAAGCCATTTCAAAATTAATGTTTGATTTTTGCCACCAGTGATCCTTCCTGTCCTACTTACTAAAATATAGGTGTCAGGATTTACATTCACTCATTGCTGTCTCCGCAGTATTTGTGCTAGGACAGAATAGACTTTCGTTAAAATTGTGTTTATTTTCCACCCTGTTTGGTTGCTACCCATAATGCCCTAGGCACTGTGCTAGGCTCTAAAGACAGGTAAAGGATTAAGATTCTGACCCTAGGGGCCAGCAGGTGGATTGGTAGTTGAGGTGTTGGATTCTCACGTGGTCCACCACGGTTTGAGGCCCCCACTAGCAGCTTGAAAATCACAATGGATTCGCTGCATGCCTGCCCAGAATCCTAAGAGGAGAATGGAGAAGGGACTGCAGCTTGGCCATTCCCAACCCCCCTCCCCTCCAGGGGTGATTTCTCACTTTCCCTCTGTCTTCAGTGAGCACACAAGCTCTATGACCAAAAAAATAAATAAAAAGAAAAAGAATCTGGAGCTCCAGGACTAGGTTCTTTCATTGTTCTGGTTCTCAGTTATGCAGTCCCATGACTTTTCAATCTATGCATATATATATTTTTTTTGAGAGGTTTTCGCTATAGGGCGCACATGCACACCAGACAGACAGACAGAAAGCGAGAAATCACCCCCCCAGGTCGGATGGTCACTCCGCAATCCCTTCTCCTCCATCCTCCTCTTGGGATCTTGGGCACGCACTCACACGCGCCCGGCGTGAGTTCTAAGCCACCTGTCCGAGACGCAAACCGTGGTCGACTACGTGGGAATCCAGCGACATAGCCATTACGCTGGTTCCCAATCTATGCATATATTGACAACTTTAGAATTTATATCTCCAGACTACACACCTCTGCCCCGAACTCCAGATCTACAGATTCTATCATGTATTGGGCATCTTTCCTATTTTAAAAGTAACTTCCCAAACAACTCAGTCTTTTCCCTAGACTGATTCTTCCTTAATAGACTTCCCCTGTGTCATAGTAACACCATCCTTCCAATTGCCCAAGCCAAAAAAACCTTGCAGTAGTCTTGCCTGCTTCCTTTCTTTCATATCTCAGGTCTAATCCATCAACACAAAACCTATGTTTAAAATATTCTTGAATTCTGACCACATCTTACTGTTTCATACTGTCTAGTTGGCCGCATCTCCTGCCTGGATTATTGTATCAGACTCCCAGCTAGACTTCCTATTTCCTTGCCCTTCTACCATTGGGGTGAGGGTGGCCCAAGTGATCCTGTTAAAACAGGTTATATGGCCAGAGTCCTCAGCGCTACATGGTCCAGTGGCCCTGAGGATCACTCAGAGTAAAAGCTAAACTTTTAGAATGCCCCTCAAGGCCTTATGTGAGCTGTCTCATTATTTCCCTTTCATCTCCCACTACCCTTTCCTTGACTCATTCCTTTCTGGCTGAACCAACCTCACTGTGTGTGGAACCATCAGGCATTCTAATTTAGGACCTTTGTACTCATTTACTCTTTCTGGACCTTTCTGTACCCAGCTATCTACATAGCCCACCTGACCACCTTCACAGGAGTTGTTCAAGGGGCTTTCTTTGACCAGTGAGGCTTCTTTGACCACTCTGTTTCAGATGAACTCCTGTGTCACAGCCTCCATTTCAAGTTCTTTGTTTTATTTTTCTCCACTGTACTTGCCACCAATGAACAAACTATGTTCTTTGCTTAATGTCTGTCTTCTTCAACTGGTTCATAAGCTCCACTAGGGCAGGAAGTTTGTCTGCTTTGTTCACTGCTGTATTTCCCAGTGCCTATCACAGTATGTGGCTCATGGTAAACATTAAAGAAATGCTCATTAGATATGAAGACAATGGGACTGACCAAATTATTTTCCAGTGTTGTAATAAACAACATAGCGTCCATGGCCTATTATTATTGGAGCCTGTGTCCACAGAAGCAAGGAGTCTGTTTTCTTTTTTAATTGCTGGAGGGCACATGCACTTGCCGGAGAGAGAGGGAGAAAGCACCCTCTAGTGGGACATGGTCATGCCACAGTCCCTTTTCCTCCATTTCTTCTTCCTGTCAGAATTTGGAGCATGTATATGTGTGTTTTTAAAATCACTAGGGGCCAAAACTTGAACACAGTCACCTATGTAGAATTCAGCTCCCTTAACCACTAGGCTACAGACTGGCCCACCAGAATCACCTTTTCAAAGTCATCTGGCTTTTACTACTGTGTTTTTTATGACATTGGCCTTATTCATGTCTTGTTTTCCATGAGGCTGGCAGCCTAGAAGCTCTTTGGAAATACTCTCTGTAAACCCTGAGACAGAACTATTTTTTAATGCATTTTTGCATAGAAAAACAGAAAAAAATACTTTATGACTTTTCTGACAACCCAGTATATTAATTTGACAATGACATACGTAGGGAAATTAGTTGTGAATGAACTTTTTAAAAAAATAAGTTTCTATGTTAGTATTTTTATTATTGTTATTATCAAGGATCAGGACTTACTTCAAGGTAGCATTCAAGATTTGCTCCTTTTCAGAAATAGCAAGCACAGATACTTTAAAGCTATTGTTTCTTTGCTGGAATATTAATAATTAAAAGTAGATTTCTTTTTGTAAGGTTGAACTTCTTAGACTATGAGCTGTAGAGCTATAACTTATGAGGATCCTCCAAGTGAAGACTGGATTGTTTGTATGTGTGTGCATTGGGGGACAGGTGTGCTACTCCTGTTTTGGGCCTGCTAGCTGGGGAAGGAAAGGAAGGAATATGAGTTACTGCAGTGAAAAGGGGAATCTCTCTCTGACTTTAAGCCTCACCTTAGCAAATTCATGCATCAAATTCCAAATCCTTATGTCATGCTTCCTTTAACAACCTCCCATGTATTCAAGGATTCACCTTGGTAGCTTACTCAACTCCTCTTGCTACTCAGCCATCGCTGCTCCCTCCCTTGCTTCTAAGGGCTCTCCTGACCTTGACATTGTTTGGTTTTAGTTTTTGTTTTGCCATGGTGGAGGATGGGGTAAAGAGGGTAGTCATTGGAAGGAGAGGTTTTCAGCTAACCCTGAGATCTGTTTTAAATAAATCCCCCAAAGTTAGATCAGCTCAAGTCAGCAGCAAGATCAAATCATCTTGATTGGCTAAGAGGCCAGTTCAAGGACAACACTCAAAAGCTCTGTGCCCTGCCCACCATCAGTGTCCTAATCACCTTAATCACTCCTTCCTTCTGGTACATTTTCTATAAATCCCCATCCCCTCAGAAGCTGGGGACCAGTTTGGTTCCTTCTTTTTGTTTGAAAGTTAGTTTTTCTCCTAGAAGTCTGAAAAGCTTCAGGTTAGAGCAGGGTCAGATAGGATTAAGAGACTGAAGCAAATCAAATTCATATGCCAAGAGGTAGACTTTCTCTTAAGCAAATAAAGCATATTAATTGGAATTATCTTTCCACCTTGTTTTTATGTTGATTGTGTACACACCCTGTAAAGTAAATGTAAGCATTTTACATAGATCATTGTTGTACCTTAGGAAATATCAACAAAACTAGACATTTTAACAATTACATGAAAAAATTTTAAGTGGGAATCTATATCCTATTCAAAATTTGGGGGGGAGGACGTCTCCATTTCTATATTTTTCCCCAAACACACACTTTACTATATTAGTATTACATGCTTGGCTTTCAGTATAAATTAATATAGGCAGTCCTTTATATTATAGCCAGTTACCTGAGTCTAACAGATTGCCATGGAAATTGGCCTTCTTCTCTAGCACAGCTTGCTATTTATGTACTCCCTCCTATTTTTCAACCTATTGCCTGTGACTGCTGTGTAGTAGAAGGTAATGACTAAAACAAATAAACAAATATTTATTTTTCTCAATTAAGCAAAGTTTGGAGATTATTAGTTTTGTCCCCCTCCCAACACCTGCCAAATATCAGGTGAATCTGGCTCTGTGGCTTTTTCCTTGTGTTTGTTACTCATGGGCTGGTGATCCCTGACTCTTTGTTTATAATTTGAAAGTGACACACTGTGGCGACTGAAAGACAATACTCACAGCTCTAGGCATCATAATGGGAAAAGAATGGACAGGTGCCATCATTTCTGTCATTTTTATCACACACACAAGTCTGCCTAGAGGCCCCTCTGTAAACTTCTGCCTGAAGTCTCATTGTCCAGGCACATATGGGTATGCCAGCTGCAGGGGAAGCTGAGGATGTGAACTTTTCAACTTCTTTTGGAGGGAGAGCAAAGGAGCCAATAGTGTTTGCACAAACCCCTCAACTATTCTTTCCATACTTTCTCTCCTTTCCATAGGCCTGATTTATTTCTAGGTCAGTGGTAGCCAGATAGCGGGTGATAAAAATGAAAGGTAAACTTCCATGATGTTTCTCATTATTGCCTCCCTATTTTTTCCCTACCCTATTCTATTGGTGGCTCAACTCCACCACCCCTAGGGACTTACTCTGACGCTGTTCCTTCTATTACCTAAGGAATGCTGTCCTGGTTTATGTAGCAATACAACCATGAGTTGCCACATCTGACTTCTTTTCAGAAATGTAGATGATCCTTACTTCAAGTCTGTATGTGTCCGGAGACTACATTAATAGCTGCATGTGTCTTTGTCTTTTGCTGAAGAATGAATTGAAAACATAAAAGGGATTTAATAGAAAGGCACTTCCTTACTCCATATGCTTTGGCTGACATTTATTTGCAGCAAATCTCTTAAAGAATGCAAAAAGCTTGTGTCAGAAATGCATTGTTTTACAGAGAAGCATGAAAGAGAGAAATTCTGGTCAGAAGTGCCATGAGAGTAAAGGGAGAGGAAAATAGAAAGGCCATTATATGGGCTGTGTGGGAAGAAGATAGAAAGTAATTAGAGCTATTTCAGGGTGCAGAAATGTCTTCAGTGGGTGTGACAGTGTTATGTTCACTAGAAGCTCAATCTTTCCACAGTCCTCTACCATGCTCCTTGCCCTCCCCCTCCCTCCAATCCTACCACTTGGTAAGTTCCTGCCCTGGCTCCTGGGAACTTTCTTCAGTGACTTGAACCTGAGGTCATCTCCACTTTACCTGAAAGATGACAGGAAGGGAGATACCAAACTAGACAGCAATTGGTCAGAAAGGTATATTTCTTTATTTTTTTTTTAAAAATTATTTTTACATTCAATCACTGTGTATCATTACAGCATACCAAGTGAATTTTCTCATCACGAACATAGTATATATTGATTCAGTCAAAGATATTACCATACACATTATCATTAATAGATAATTTTCCATTTTTGTGTCTCTCAAATGTTTTGCTTCTTTCTTTTATCCCTTGATTCCCTCCCTTTAACCATCCCCCTTCCTCCACCATTTCCAACTCTCCTCCCACACTGGAGAAAGGTGTATTTCTAATATCCAAGCTGGACATTTATGGGAATGTTCCCATAGGAACATGTTGCTAGAGATGGTCATTTACAGTATACTTAGTATAGAAATCCCTGTTCTAGATGGAGTGTAGGAAAATGTATTGAAAATTTCCACCATTGACGTTGTCATTGAGCACAGTTCATTTCTATGTTGCGATCATAAATTAATTCTACATCTGTCACTACCCTGGAAGAGTGGTCTCATTATTCACTGGATTTATTTTTACTGGATTTCTGAAAAGGAAACTTAAATTTTGATGTCAATAGTATAGAAAGAACTTTGCTCCTGCTGTGGAGTTAAAGTTACAAATTATTTTTGAAAATCACTACTTCAGTGTAGAAGACATAGTTGGCAAATCAGATTTTTTTTTTTTTGAGAGGTTTTTGCTATAGGGTGCGTGCACTCACCAGACAGACAGAGACAGACAGAAAGTGAGAAATCACCCCCCAGGGGGGATGGCCATGCCGCAATCCCTTCTCTTCCATTCTCCTCTCAGGATCTTGGGCACACACGCACGTGTGCCCAGCGTGAGTTTTAAGCCACCGGGTCCAGGACGCAAACCGCGGTTGGCTACATGGGAGCCCAGCGACATAGCCATTACACTAACTGCTGGTCCTGGCAAATCAGATATTTTATGACAATTTCTCAGAGGTTCAAGTACAGAACTTTTTTTCAGGAAGGAAAAATAGCAGTAGTATTATAATGAAAATGGCTGGTGACAAGAGGTTAACTCTCAGCCAAGTCAAAGCTCCAAATATGTAACTTAGAGTATCAAATATGAGGGGACTTCAAAACATTTGTGGAAAAATAGGATTAAAGTATGAGTTTATTTTGATTCAAATTTTTTTTTGAAATTCATGCAGTTTTTTTCATAATATGCAATTTCAATGAACTTTTTGAAGACCATGCACAGAATAGACTAGATTATAATTCAGTACCAAACTACTCAATAATTTCAATGGCTTACATCAATATAGGTTTATTGCTTATTCATACTGTATACCATGGATGGGTCATAGATCCATTTCATATCTTCTTCGCTCTGGACCCTGGCACATGGGAGCAGGTCCTATCTGGGATTTTGTTCATCTCGTGGAGAAGGGAAAAGAAAGAGATGGTGAATGTCTCCTAGAGCTTCCATCCATTTTTAATTGACCAAAGCAGGACACAAGGCCGTTCCTAAGTTCCTCAGAACATATGATCCTCCCACATGAAGGGACAGTAACTATTTTAAATAGTAATTGCACTTATCACACTAATATTGTGACTTTAAAATTAGGTGCATATGGAAACTACAATGTCCAGACCAGTCCTTTCTCCAACTCACATCAATGCTACACCTTCTGAAACATTCACAGTACTTCAGCAAAGGATGAGAATAGTCGAGGAACAGACCAGTTCTCTGAGAGATGACCTAATAATGTTGGACTTTGGTGAAAAAAGGTAACAACAACAACAAAAAATGAACTAGTCTCCATTGGTTTAAAAATTTTGCTTCACTGCTTATTAATAATCAGTTACAGTAGTTTGGGAGTACTGTATTTACAAAAGATTTGACAAATAAATTTCCATGTAAACAGTAGTTAGAAAACATTGACAAAATAAAGAGTTATTCTGTAATTAGACCTGCTACTACTAATTCCCCTAAACAGATTAATTATGTACATAAACTTTGATGTTACGTTCATCTTCAACACTTTATTAAAGAAAACATGTAGGGCTGGCCCTGTAGCCTAGAGATTAAGACAGCTGGATTTTTCAAGTCACCTGGCTGACTGTGGTTCAAATCCTGGCCCCAGTGACTTGAAAAACATGCTCAACATGTGGATGCATACATGAGATCCTGATAGGATGGAGAAATGGAGGAGAAGGGCTTGTGGTGTGACCATGCCCATTAGTGTATGTGCACTGTCCCTCGCTCTCTTTCTTCAGAAGCATATGCTCTCTGGCAATTAAAAAAAAAAGAAAGAAAGAAAGAAAGAAAGAAAAGAAAAGAAAACATAATTTTATATGTAATTAAACCTATTTTGGTTATTATTTTTAAATAAATAGATTTTTATCTTAGTTAAGATAAAAATCTATAATGTTATTTCATTCCATTAATTTGGTCTTTGTCTTTTTTATTTTTATTTTTAAGGTTTTTATCATAGGGCATGTGCACTTCCCAGATAGAAAGAGAGAGAGGGAAAGTGAGAAATCACCCACCAGTGGGTGGCCATGTTGAAATTCCTTCCCCTCCATTCTTTTCTTGGAATTCTGGGCATGTCTCAAGCACCCAGTATGATTTTCAAGCCACCATGTCCATGACTTGAACTATAGTCAGCCATGTAGGAACCCAGCACTTTTACCACCACACCATGTGCTGGCCCCTGGTCTTTGTTTTTTTTCTCCCTTATTTATAGAAAATTAAAAGTGAAATTTTCATAATTTCAACATAATGTTCATATTATTACAATTGACAAAATTAGCTTTTTTTTTAAGGCTGAACAATATTCTGTTGTATAGATATGCCATGTCTTTATTCATTCATCTATTGATGAGTACTTAAGTTTTTTGAGTAAATGCCATTCTATTTTCCAAAATGGTCACAGTGATTTATAGTCCATCGAACAGTATATGAGGATTCCCTTTTCTCCACATCCTTATAAATATTTTTCATCTTTTTGATAACAGCTTTAACAGGCATGAGATCTCACCTTGGTTTAACTTTGCATGTGTTTTAAGATTTTTGCCATAGGTATGCACGCTCATCAGAGAAAGGCAGTGAGAGGGAAAGTAAGAAATCACCCCCTCCCCTGGAGTGATGGCCACATCATAGTCCCTTCTTCATTCTCCTTGTGGAATTTTGGGCATGCACACATGACCAGTGTGATTTTCAAGCCACCAGGTCTAGGACTTGAACCATGTGGAAGTCCAGCACCTTAACCAACCACTGCGCCACAGACTGACCCCCATATTTGCATTTTCCTAACGATTAGTGATGTTGAACATTTTTCATATACTTGGTCCCCATTCACATACCATCTTTTTGAGAAGTCTCTAGTCAGTTCCTTTACCCATGTTTTTTTACTTTTTTTTTTTCTTTACCAAAGGACACATGCACTTGCTGGATAAAGATGAGGGGCAGGGGTCCCCACGCCTGGATAAAAACGCCACCTATAGGCATGGTCACCCTATAATTCCTTCTCTTACACATTACTCTTCCTTTGGGATTTTGAGCACACATGTGCAAGTCTCTGGCATGTTTTTTAAGCCTCCAGGTCCAGAATTTGAACCACTTCGTTGTTCATGTGACATCCAGCCACCTTAACCACTGGGCCACAGGTCTGCCCTGCCCATTTTTTAAGAGGGTCGTTTTCTTGTTACTGAGTAGTTTGAGTTCATTACATATTTTCGGCATTAGTTTCTTATTAGATATATGGTTTACAAATATTTTTCTGCCAATTTGTTGTCTGTCTCTTTATTCTATTGTTTCCTTTGCTGTACAGAAACTTTTTAGTTTAATGCAATATTATTTATTCATTTTTCCTTTTGTTGCCTGTGCTTTGAGATTATATTCAAGAAGCCATTGCTGAGACCAATGTCAAAGAGCTTTTTCAATATGATGTTTGATCATTTTTTCTGCTTGATCTAGTCTGTTGAACCCCTTGATTGAATTTCTCAGTTAAGTTATTGTATTCTTCAGCTTTACAACTTTTGTTTGATGTTTTAAAATACTTTCTCTTGTTGACATTTTCAGTTTTTGCATTGGTCTCCTGACCTCAGTGAACATCTTTCTGACCATTATTTTAAATTCTTTGTTGAATAAATCTTATATTTTCATTTCACTAGGGTTGATTTTCAGAAATTTATCTTGTTGTTTTATTTGGAACATATTTCCTTATTTCTTCATTTTCTTTGACTCTATATGTTGAGTTCTACACATTAAATACAATAACAACCTCTCCTAGTCTTGTTAGCCTGGCCTTGGATAGAAGGATCTCACCAGTGTTTCCAGCCAAAAATTCTAAGGTATCCTCAAAGCTTTGTATTTGTTCAAACTACTGCCTCTATTTTTTTTTTTTTGAGAGACATATTTTTGCTATAGGACACATGCACTCACTGGAGAGACAGAGAGATAGAAAGTGAGAAATCACCTCCCCGGGAAAATGACCATGCCACAGTCTCTTCTCTATTCTCCTCTTGTCATCTTGGGCATGCTTGCACACATGCCCGGCATGAGTTTTAAGCCACAAGGTCCAGGATTCGAACTGCACTCCCCTACATGGGAGTCCAGCAATGTAACCATTATGCCATCTGCTGGTCCCACTGCCTCTAGTTTTTGATGGCCCAAAAAGATTAGGATATGTCAAGTCTTGGTAGTTCCCGAAATAGATAAGATAGAAGCCAGACCCATTAGAGGTAGCTGAAAAGGTTACGGTATTAAACATGTATTCTAATTCCTCCTATCCTTAAAACTACCTCTTAGTATTGTGGTCTAGAGAGACCCTCATATGCCTAGTCCCTTTTACTTTCAGAGCTAGAAGGTTTAGAATGTAGAGTGTGCATTAGAACTAAGAGTAGGCGTGTATGTGCACTGTCCCTCGCTCTCTTTCTTCAGAAGCATATGCTCTCTGGCAATTAAAAAAAAAAGAAAGAAAGAAAGAAAGAAAGAAAAGAAAAGAAAACATAATTTTATATGTAATTAAACCTATTTTGGTTATTATTTTTAAATAAATAGATTTTTATCTTAGTTAAGATAAAAATCTATAATGTTATTTCATTCCATTAATTTGGTCTTTGTCTTTTTTATTTTTATTTTTAAGGGTTTTATCATAGGGCATGTGCACTTCGCAGATAGAAAGAGAGAGAGGGAAAGTGAGAAATCACCCACCAGTGGGTGGCCATGTTGAAATTCCTTCCCCTCCATTCTTTTCTTGGAATTCTGGGCATGTCTCAAGCACCCAGTATGATTTTCAAGCCACCATGTCCATGACTTGAACTATAGTCAGCCATGTAGGAACCCAGCACTTTTACCACCACACCATGTGCTGGCCCCTGGTCTTTGTTTTTTTTCTCCCTTATTTATAGAAAATTAAAAGTGAAATTTTCATAATTTCAACATAATGTTCATATTATTACAATTGACAAAATTAGCTTTTTTTTTAAGGCTGAACAATATTCTGTTGTATAGATATGCCATGTCTTTATTCATTCATCTATTGATGAGTACTTAAGTTTTTTGAGTAAATGCCATTCTATTTTCCAAAATGGTCACAGTGATTTATAGTCCATCGAACAGTATATGAGGATTCCCTTTTCTCCACATCCTTATAAATATTTTTCATCTTTTTGATAACAGCTTTAACAGGCATGAGATCTCACCTTGGTTTAACTTTGCATGTGTTTTAAGATTTTTGCCATAGGTATGCACGCTCATCAGAGAAAGGCAGTGAGAGGGAAAGTAAGAAATCACCCCCTCCCCTGGAGTGATGGCCACATCATAGTCCCTTCTTCATTCTCCTTGTGGAATTTTGGGCATGCACACATGACCAGTGTGATTTTCAAGCCACCAGGTCTAGGACTTGAACCATGTGGAAGTCCAGCACCTTAACCAACCACTGCGCCACAGACTGACCCCCATATTTGCATTTTCCTAACGATTAGTGATGTTGAACATTTTTCATATACTTGGTCCCCATTCACATACCATCTTTTTGAGAAGTCTCTAGTCAGTTCCTTTACCCATGTTTTTTTACTTTTTTTTTTTCTTTACCAAAGGACACATGCACTTGCTGGATAAAGATGAGGGGCAGGGGTCCCCACGCCTGGATAAAAACGCCACCTATAGGCATGGTCACCCTATAATTCCTTCTCTTACACATTACTCTTCCTTTGGGATTTTGAGCACACATGTGCAAGTCTCTGGCATGTTTTTTAAGCCTCCAGGTCCAGAATTTGAACCACTTCGTTGTTCATGTGACATCCAGCCACCTTAACCACTGGGCCACAGGTCTGCCCTGCCCATTTTTTAAGAGGGTCGTTTTCTTGTTACTGAGTAGTTTGAGTTCATTACATATTTTCGGCATTAGTTTCTTATTAGATATATGGTTTACAAATATTTTTCTGCCAATTTGTTGTCTGTCTCTTTATTCTATTGTTTCCTTTGCTGTACAGAAACTTTTTAGTTTAATGCAATATTATTTATTCATTTTTCCTTTTGTTGCCTGTGCTTTGAGATTATATTCAAGAAGCCATTGCTGAGACCAATGTCAAAGAGCTTTTTCAATATGATGTTTGATCATTTTTTCTGCTTGATCTAGTCTGTTGAACCCCTTGATTGAATTTCTCAGTTAAGTTATTGTATTCTTCAGCTTTACAACTTTTGTTTGATGTTTTAAAATACTTTCTCTTGTTGACATTTTCAGTTTTTGCATTGGTCTCCTGACCTCAGTGAACATCTTTCTGACCATTATTTTAAATTCTTTGTTGAATAAATCTTATATTTTCATTTCACTAGGGTTGATTTTCAGAAATTTATCTTGTTGTTTTATTTGGAACATATTTCCTTATTTCTTCATTTTCTTTGACTCTATATGTTGAGTTCTACACATTAAATACAATAACAACCTCTCCTAGTCTTGTTAGCCTGGCCTTGGATAGAAGGATCTCACCAGTGTTTCCAGCCAAAAATTCTAAGGTATCCTCAAAGCTTTGTATTTGTTCAAACTACTGCCTCTATTTTTTTTTTTTTGAGAGACATATTTTTGCTATAGGACACATGCACTCACTGGAGAGACAGAGAGATAGAAAGTGAGAAATCACCTCCCCGGGAAAATGACCATGCCACAGTCTCTTCTCTATTCTCCTCTTGTCATCTTGGGCATGCTTGCACACATGCCCGGCATGAGTTTTAAGCCACAAGGTCCAGGATTCGAACTGCACTCCCCTACATGGGAGTCCAGCAATGTAACCATTATGCCATCTGCTGGTCCCACTGCCTCTAGTTTTTGATGGCCCAAAAAGATTAGGATATGTCAAGTCTTGGTAGTTCCCGAAATAGATAAGATAGAAGCCAGACCCATTAGAGGTAGCTGAAAAGGTTACGGTATTAAACATGTATTCTAATTCCTCCTATCCTTAAAACTACCTCTTAGTATTGTGGTCTAGAGAGACCCTCATATGCCTAGTCCCTTTTACTTTCAGAGCTAGAAGGTTTAGAATGTAGAGTGTGCATTAGAACTAAGAGTAGGCGTTTTTGTCTCCCACTTTCTCTATTCTAAGCCAGGCAGAGTACCTGTAGTAAATGCCTATGTTCTCATTCAGACTGTACCCACTGATTATGGAGAGATAGCCACTAGAAGTTGGCCCATTGCATGTCCACCTCTTTACTGTCTGTGATCTGTGACGACTCAAGAATGCAGAGCTCCACCAACTTCGGAGCTCTGTGGTTAAGGAGGTAGTCCCTTTGGTCTGTAGAAGAGCTGTAGAAGATATGGCACTACATGTATGGACAGACTTCTTTCAGGAAGTATCTTGTACATCTGGAGTTATCACTGGGGTAAACCAAGGGAAAAGTCCCGAGAAGTGCCAAACTCCTATTCAGGCTGCTAAAGATGTATTGTTATTGCCAGCTGTTAACTCCCCCATTTACATTGGTTAAAAGCCAGACTGAAGTAGTCACTGAAGGACTGTGCACAGAAATTTCTTCCAGGGATAAACTGGGAGCTGATTGTTTTAGACCCTTCTCTGCATTGCTCTAGAGGAAGATACCTTTGAAGTGCTTGCACTTCCATTTAAAACTACCTCTTAGTATTGTGGTCTAGAGACACCCTCATATGCCTAGTTCCTTTTGCTGTCAGAGCTAGATTTAGAATGTAGTCTCTCAGGTGGAAGCTTCAAAAGTTGGGGCACTCACTATGTGATCAAACCTTCTTCTAGGAAGAATTCATAGGCTAAAGTTATCAGGGGAGTGAGTCAGGGGAGAAGGCTCAGGAAGTGCTGAGCCCCTGTTCAGGCTGCCCCAAATTTACTGTCTGTAAGACCGTTAACACTTTGATGTAGGCTATTTGAAGCTCGGCTGTCAGTAGCAGCAGTTGGCAGAGTATGTAGGTAAACCCCTTTCAGGGAGAAATTAGAAACTGAGTTTTAGTGCTTTGTCTGTCCTATCTCATGAGATGAAGCCCATAGAAGTATTGGGTTGGTGGAAAAGTCCTGACACATTTTTGCATAGAGAAACAGAAAAATATGCATGACTTTTCTGACGACCTGAAATACATGTATGAAACTGCCTCTTTGTTCTGTATAGAGAGACTTGTGTGTACTCAATCCTCTCTGCTCTAAGAGCTAAGTGAATAAAGAGCCAAACCGTGAAGAACCTTAGAATTGGGGTGTTATATGTTGCATCTTGAAGTGATACATGGTTCAAACCCTTCTCTTCTCAGAAAGAAGCTGAGCATTGGAGATTTCTTATTAATTGTATGATACAGTGCCTGGGGTAGGGTTTGTTTCCAAATGTGCCTCAGCCTTTCCTAGACCTGGTTTTTTTTTTTTTTTTTTTCATTTGGGCAATATGTAAGGGTATGTCAGCTCATTTCTGACTTTCTTTTAGAAAGATTTGATCCATGTATAGATGCTTTCCAAATGTACCTCAGCTTTTCCTAGACCTGGTTATTTTTTTTTTTTTTCATTTGGCCAATATGTAAGGGTATGTCAGCTCATTTCTGACTTTCTTTTAGAAAGATTTGATCCATGTATAGATGCTTATTTGGTGCATCAGAGGGTGGAAGCAGAATCAGTAACCTCTTAATTCTGCCATCTTACTGATGTCACTCTCTAATCATTACACTGATTAGAAATGTTACCTTGACTCAATGTACTTATAATACAAATTATATTGCATAATGTTATTATATTGCCATCTTTGCCCAGAGGTCAGTTGGAAGCTCCAAACTCTTTAGAAGACCCTGCCAACCAAAGAGCCATTAGTCCTATTCAGAATGAAATAATTTGTTCAGGAAAAACAGATATTTTATGGAAGAACTGTGAATTTCTGGTAAATCGAATGTGCCGTCTAGAAAGCCTCATTCAGTCCTTGAAGATGAACATCTTTCGTCTGCAAACTGAAAAGGATTTGAATCCACAGAAAACAGGTATAGAGAAAAGAGAATCTTAAGAAATCATGAATTTGTTCCTTTGCAGGTACTTGATTTGTTTATGATTCTTTTTTCTTTCCTGAACTTCTTTCTACTGCTTTATGACCCCTCCTCTGCTGTCTGATAGCTTTTCTGAAGGATCGACTGAATGCAATACAGGAGGAACATTCCAAGGACCTGAAGCTGTTGAATCTTGAAGTGATGACTTTGCGCCAACAACTGAGAGATGTAAAAGAAGAAGAAGACAGGGCACAAGATGAAGTGCAAAGGTTGACTGCCACTCTGGAGATTGCCTCAGAGACAAAGGTTTGAGTCTAGAGTTCTGAAGTACAAACTCACTGTTATGTGTTAGCTGAAAGAAGCAACAGATCTGTAAAACTGAGTTTTACAAGCTGATGATATTGGGACCAGCAGTTAGCGTAATGGCTGTGTAGCTGGACTCCCATGTAGTTGACCATGGTTTGCGTCCCAGACCCGGTGACTTAAAACTCACACCGGGCGCGTGTGCGTGCGTGCCCAAGATCCCGAGAGGAGAACGGAGGAGAAGGGATTGTGGTGTCCCCATCCCCCCTGGGGGGTGATTTCTCATGTTCTGTCTCTCTGTCTCTCTGTCTATCTGGTGAGTGCGTGCGCCCTATAGCAAAAACCTCTCCAAAAACAGAAAAAAAAAAAAGCAGATGATATTGAACCCAACAGGTGGGTGTCATGGTTAAGGCACTGGACTCTCACATGGCTGACCACAGCTCAAGCCCTGCACCTTGTGGTTTGAAAATCATACCAGGCACATGTGCATGTGCATACATGCCCAAAATCTCAAGAGGAGAATGGAGAAGGAACTGCAGCATGGTCATCCCTGCTGGGAGGTCATTTAATGTGCGCCCTCTCTCTCATGAGCACACACATGACAAAAAAAAAAAAATGTTCATGTGAAAATTCTTGGCAGTTGACATTTATCTGCTTTTGTAACCTAAACCACTATGTGCTACAGTGATTATTTACAGCACCCTTATCTTATACAAGTGATGATGAATGTCCAGAGGTATGAGATCAGGTCTGTGCTTTTCAGAAGTTCATGTGCTAGTTGGAAGGATGAAGCATAGCATGAGAAGTAACAGCAAGAGAAGAGTATAGGAAATGCCATGGGACAGTATAGGACAATAAGTGAACACTGCAGAGTAAGGATTTTGAATCCAGGTGTTTTTGAGAGGGCAAGGATTCCCCATCTAGGATAAATTAGTTAGGCTTCAGGAAAGAGAACTTAAACTGAATCTTTACAACACAAATTGGAGGGATATGGACATTGCAAAAAACACACAGAGAGACAGCAAAGAATAAGGACTACTTAAAAAAGAGTCTAATAAAGAACCAGTAAATGGTGTAATAGTTACGTCTCTGGACTGGCATGTAGTCGAACTGTTGATTCAAGTCCAAGACTTGGCAGCTTGAAATGCATGCTGGGTGTGTGTGTGTGTGTGTGTGTGCACATGGAGAAGGAATTGCTCCATGGCCATCTTCCTGGGAGATGATTTCGTGATTTCTATATCTCTGTCTCTCTCAGCCTCTCTGATGAGTGCATACACTCAATAGCAAAAATCTCTCTCTCAAAAAAAAAGAGAGACTAATGAAAAGTGGCTTACCTGATCATCTCAAGCTAATCAGAAGCTCTCCCTGGCAGCTTTATATTCACTAATTAAAAAAACAAATAAACTGTTTTAGGCAGTCTAGGAAAATAAATGCTGTTGGTTAAAATATAGAAATTATTATGTTTGGTGCTTAGTGAAAGTATTAATTAGTGTATTTACTTACCAGTTATTGCCATTTATTAAATTCTAAAAATTTTCATCAAATAAATTTTTCAAACCTTAAAAGAAGAGAGACTAATGATATTGTTTATTCTTCATCAGGTAAGCAGTGTAATAGATATTCAATGGTAATTTTTTTTTTAAGACAGAGATTTTTGCTATAGGGTATATGCGCTCACCAGAGAGACAGAGAGACAGAAAGCAAAAAATCACTCCCCAGAGGGGAAAGCCACACTGCAATCCCTTCTCCTCTATTCTCCTCCCGGGATTTTGGGTGTGCATGCACACATATCCAGCATAAGTTTAAGCCGCCAGGTCTGGGATTCAAACCACTGTCAACTGCGTGGGAGCTCAACAACATAACTATTATGTCATCTGCTGGTCCCTTAATGGTATTTTTTTTTTCAAGTTTGCAAAACCATGTGAAATAGGATATTATTGTCACTAATTTTAAGTGAGAATTATGGAACCCAGAGAGAAGTCACTTGTCCAAGATTGCACATGCCTTCTTCTTCCTGTAACCCAAGTTTTAATCTAGATCTTTTCACTGGATGCAGTTGGGGCAGAGGTAGGGAGGTTATGTGTAAACTAGCCTAATAGGAGTAAAGATTTGTTTATGTGAAATTAGTTGAATATTAGCTAGGGATCACATGGTACAACATCTTAAAATAAAGAATAATAAGTAGGCTTGATTCTGTGAGTCATGATTAAGATTTTTGATATGGAAAGTGACAGTGAAAATGGGAAAGCCATTTTGGCAATGTTACAGAGTATTGATTAAAAGGAGAAGAGATCGGAGGCAGGGAAACCAATTAGGACTCCATTGCATTATTTAAGGTTGTAGCATTTGGAAAGGAAAAAGGAATATTCCATGAAGAAAGATAGCATTGAAATATGAACCTGGATAGAGGTTGAAGGTAGGAAAGAAGGCAAAGGCCACTCAGGTTTTACATCTGGTATTGTGGTAATAATAAAAAGAGTAAGTAGGGAAGTTTTCCATCCTCAGCCCCTAAGCATAAATAATATTTGAAGCTAGAGAAATGGACTTCTTTTTAAAAACTAGGAATATAACCTGTAAGAAAAGTGTCTGTAGGGACCAGTGGGTGGCGTAATGGTTACATTACTAGACACCGACATGGCCAACTTAGTTTGAATCCTGGACCCAGCAGCTTGAAACTCACACCAGGTGCATGTGCATGTGTGCCCTAAATCCCAAGAGGAGAGTGGAGAAGGGATTGTGGAATGGCAATCTCCCTTGGGGGATGATTTCTTGCTGTCTCTCTCTTTCCAGTGAGCATACACACCCTCTAGTAAAAAATATCTCTTAAAAAAATGTCTATCAATTACTAGATTGTCCTGATTATCGAATTAACATTCAAAGTGGATATGATTAAACATTTTTTATGATCCAAAAGAAATAATGATAGATGTCTTGAGTCAAAGTAATAAAATAACTTCCTTCCCAATATCTCACTGTAATAATTACTCAGACTTACACTAAGTATTTAAAACCATATTAAAAATGTACTGGGTCCAGCAGGTGACATGATGGTTAAGCGTGATGGACTCCCACATAACTCCTCTCTCTTTCTCTTTCTCTCTCTGTCTCTCTCTCTCTCTCTCAATCTCACTCTTGTTGTGTTCCTCTCTGATCAAATTAAGATAAATAAATAAATAAATAAATAAAGTTAAAATAATTCTTAAAATAAAGTAATGCTTACAGGTTGTCAGAAAAGCTCAAATTTGAACTGATATACCTATAGACAATTTCATTATGTCATTTCATATTACTTAGAACATTTTCTCCTTCCACTTTTAGAAGAATGTAGCTGTTATTGAAGAGGAACTAAAGACCACAAAACGTAAAATGAACCTTAAAGTTCAGGAGGTAAGACAAAAAGATACTGGGGGTTTGAGATGTTGGACTTTCAGAAGGGAAAATCAAGCAGTGAAGAAAACATGTGACTGTTTAGTAGGAAGACTTAAAAGATGCCAGGTAGCAATCAAGAGAAAGTGTCTGTCCCTACATAACATTAGGACTTCCTTTTGCCTCAGTACTGCCATGGAACTAGTAGAAAAAAACAAAAAAATTATCTCTGAGCCAGGAGGGAAGTAGTTATCCCATGTGGCTGTCCATGTTCGTGCCCAGATACTATCCCTTCATGCAAAGGTCTTTTAATCTAAAGTTGCATTTAAAATAAAGCATTTTTTAATAAGCCTGCTCATCTAATTTTATCTTGAAACCTTAATTTTAGCCTAAATTTTAGTAGATAACAGACTGAGAATTATGAAGTAGGTGGCAGCTAAAAGCTGTTGTACTAAAAATTTGCAGCTGAAAATAGCGGAAGAGTTAGAGGAATTACTGACTCAGTATACTCTGGCTTAAAAACCTCAATATTCCCTGAGAGAGTAGTAATTAATGTTATACCACATCAAAAGGGTCAAATTATATTGAAAAGATACTGTGATACAAAATGGAGATGTAGACTCTTTTTTTTTTTTTTTTGGAGAGATTTTCACTGTAGGGCGCGTGCGCTCGCCAGACAGACAGAGAGAGACATAGAGACAGAAAGCGAGAAATCACCCCCCAGGGGGGATGGTCACGCCGCAATCCCTTCTCCTCCATTCTCCTCTCGGGATCTTGGGCA